AGATTAATATGTATCAAAAATTTCAATTTTTTAAAAAATGTCTCAGAACCCCATTTTCCTAGCAAACTTCCCATATCGTATCGACATCGAATTGATAATATAGTAACGATATTGAATTAATATCATTAAGATATGAATATCAATATCAATTCTATATCAATGTGATATCATTATGATATTGAATAGACATAGATATCGTAATGATATCGATTTGATATCAAAATGATATTATTGCAATATTGAATTGATATTGTTAGAATTTTAAAGGTTTCTGTAAAGTAGTTAAGTTTATAGTTATTAATTAGAGAATTAATTGTGAAATTCAAGTTTGTGAACAAGAGTTTATTTTGTTTATTAAATTATATTAATTCACTTATATTTTATTAATAAATCATACATTATTCCTATAATATTGATCTGTTAAACTTGTAACCTAAAATCCAATCTATCATTATTGCTTTCCCATCATATTTGAAGTATTTATATATATTTAATTTATATTTATATATCCTTAACATTTCCTATACTTATAAATTGATATATTGTTAATTTAATAGTTTATTAACATGAATAAGTTCTTAAATTTATTAAGTTAAATCATTATCCTTTAGATATCTATAATCTTATTATATGATTAAAGTTTATTTTTCAATTAGTAATCATCGCAATCGACTCGTATAATATATTATTATGTTAATTAAAAAGTAAATATATTTTATTTTTTTTTAAAATTAGAATTTTAATTAAAATAAAAAATAATACAATCCTTTTTGAAAATATCACTCTAAAATTTAGAAATCAAAAAAATAAATAACTTTTTTAAAGAAAAATAAAAAAAAACTTAATTATAATATTCTTAAAATAACAAAAAATCTTAAATTAAATCAAATTTAAATATAACTTAAGTCAAGTTGAGTTAAATTAAATCAATTTAAATATAAGTTGAATTGAATCAAATCAATTTTAGTTTTAATATAACTTGACTTGAATTGAGTTGAATTGAGTTGAATTAAATTTAAATATAATTTGAGTTGAGTTAAGTTAAAGATTTAAAAATTTTTAACTTAGATTTAAAAAATTTGAGTTAAGTTAAGTTATCTTTAAAACTTGACTTAACTCAACTAGTAATATTTACCTAAACTTTTTTTAAAAAATTGTAATTTTGTCAAAAGGATTTGTCTCTTTAATATTTTTCTATAAATAAATATAAAATTATTATATTTTTTAATGTATTTTAATTCAAAAAATTCAAATAAATTTAAATATAATTTCAGTAATTAAATAAAATATTTTTATCATTTCAGTTTCATCAGTTTCGTTATATTAAGAAAGGTAATTTTAACAGGTATCACTAGACTCAACTTATTAGGAGTTCTAATAATATGTGTTATAATTTAGAATTATAATACATATTATCACATATTTCATTTATTTTCATATTTAAAATTTAAAGATTCACATTCAAATATTTCTGAATATCCTATTATACATTTATTTCTTTATATAATAAGCAACTAAATTAGTAATTTGATGAAATATCAAATATATTATTAGATTCAATCAATTTTTTCATATTTTAGTAATTTTTTCCAATATATATATGAGTTTCAACTTAAAATTAAGGTATTTTTAAAATTCTTTTAAAAATATGAAAAAATACATAAATTTGATATAAAAAATAAATGTAATTTTATAAGAAAAAAAGAATTTCTTAAATTACAAAAATGGGTTTTCAAATAATTCATATATAAAATTCAAAAATTATTTTTTATAATAAAATAAGATTTTTAATTATTTTATATTTAAAATTCTAATTTATGTTAAAATAATATATTTATAATTTTTATAATTTTTTTAGTTTAATTATAGAAAATACGATTATAATTACTTTTTTAATTTTCTTTCTATCTTATTTATTCTAATATTATTTTAAAATTACTAAGAATTATTCAATTTTTTTATTAGTAAAAGAATTTGGTATTTTTCAACTATAAAGTATTTTTTTTTATATAATGATACTATATAACATATAGTTTTTACTTTTTTTTTGTTAATAATATACTAATTAAATACTTTCTATAGTTAAGAAATTTATTCAATATTATTAGTAATTATTTCTTAAATTTAAAAAATCTAAAAAAAAATTTTAATTAAAATAATTTCTAATATTAGAATTCCAGTAAAAAAACTATAATATTATATAATATATTATAATATATTTAGAATAAAATATAAAAAAATATAAAAAAAATATATATTAACTGTTAAGCAAAAATTATTTTAATAGATATACCTTTTAAAATTTTTAAATAGTAATCTTTTCTTTTATCAAGTAATAAATTTTTAACTTATTAATAATATAAAGTTGAAATTTATTAATAAATATTATTTGTTTAATAATATTTTATTTTTGTTTTAAAAAAAAATGGTTAATATTATTTTATAAAAAAAAATTATAAAAGTTTTATAAGTATAAAAGTAAAATTACTAAAATTTTAAGTAAGGTCTATTAAAAGTTATAAAGTATTTGAATTTTTTAAGTTGATAAATTAATAATTGCAAATTTAACAAATAATCATATAAAACACCAAAAAAAAAAGTATATAGCTTACTTATTAATAAAGTAAAATATAGCATAAAATTTATATAAAAGTTACTTGATAAAATGATTAGTGATATATATAATACTATTTGCTACTCAACTTTAAAAATATATTTACGTTATCATCAGAAATAATTATCTTTTCACATATTTTGTTTAAGTTACTTTACTATGATAAGTAAGTTACTTATTATCAGATTTTATAATCTAAAGAAATCTCATATTTTACAAGTATCTGAAATTTTTTGAAATTACTTTATTTTAACTTTACAAATTTAAAGATTTAGGGACTTAGGAAAAAACTAGAGAATTTATAAGTGATGAACTTAATAATAAGTTAATATAGTAGTCATAATCAAATTCTAGATGATAAATGCATATAAGGGAAATCTAACTAAGAAATCTTTTCTTTCTTGATTTAACCTATATGGTGGATGAGCAATAGATCTAACTCTAAGTTTAAGGGTATTTGATGATTTACATATGGGGTTTGTCCAATATCAGTTCCTCCAGTTGAGACGATTTCCTTTGGGATAAGAGCTTTGACAGTGACTTGTTCTATCATTTCATCTTCTTCAACATTAGCTATATAAAGGTTTATAAA